CACACATAAGTTGCACAAAACAGCCACACTCTGGGAGCCCATAGTTGCACTTTGCGAGCTATGCCATTTTGCAGTCAGTCCCTAGGAATAAGCAGACCTTGCCATTCCCGCCAGATTGTGTGTCCCAGGGCTAAGCCCGTGCTGGCACTGACTCACTAACAGAGCTAGTGGGGAGAGAACACCTGAATAACATTCAGCTTGCTATCAAGCTCTGCTTGTGCCAGGGCACACCTTCCATCCTCCTTTGCCCCACGTCTCCCCCAGGCTGCTTCGTTCACTTCCTCTTGATCACTCTCCTTCTGTCAGCCTCAGACTCTGAGGGTAAGAAATGCTGTTGTCCAAAAGAGCCACAATCTTGCTCATCTCACCCACCTTCCTTCTCCTTTCCTCTGCCATCACCCAGTGCACAGCTGCCCCCAAAGGCTTTCTGTGTTTCTGTGGCTGGAGAGGAAAGGGATGTGAATACGTCTGTGTGGGAGGGCACAGAGGTCTTGGGGAATGCCTGTGCCCTGTCTACACATCCGTGAGTTTTCTTCATGCCCAGTGGTGCGTGTGAGCGTGGGGGCATGAGTGCATGGGAGGGCCTTGCTGCAGGTGTGTAAAGAGATGCTTGGCCTCATGCATATTTTAGCCTGCGTGGATGCCATGGAGTGTTCACATGGTAGGGAAGAGTGGGTTTCTCAGTCTCCTTGCTTTCCCCCACTTACTGAGCCCCAAGCCCTCCAGGCTGCCTCGCAACCTGGAAACACACTTGCAGAACGTAAGCACCAGGTAACTCACTCCGGAACTTTAAACCCATCTTGGTGAACATCAGCCCTCGGACAGTCAGCAGCACACCTGCTTGCTCTAATGTGCCCTTCCAGAGAGGCATGCGGTACAAACAGGCCCAGCACGGACTGCACTTCCTTGCTTCTCCGTGGGTCACTTTTCGGCGCAGCCCATGGGGAGGATCTCCTCCCCAGTGAACCGGGTTGGGCGGGCCAGGAGAGCAAGGGCAATTCTCCGCTATCACATCATCCCTTCAGAAACAGCAGACACAAGCAAAGAACCGCAGACAGAGGGGTGGGGAGAGGAGGGCAGGAAGCAGCAGCAGAAGAGCCTCTTTGTTAGAAGATTTAATGGCAGGCACCGGGGTTTCCCCCAGAGCTGCAGACCTACCTTGGGAGCCTGCTCTGCCTGCAAGGCCTGGCCCACACACCCCACGCAAGCCAGCTCACACACGCATGGAAGGGGGGAGAGAGGTGGACATCTGTTTACCCAAGCTCAAGGTCTCCTCAGCGATCAATAACCTGATGCCATGTCCCTTCAGCTCGGCCTTTGTCCTGCACCGTCCTGCCGCGATGGGTCAGCGCACCCCGTACAATGGCTTTTTTCTTTTCTGAGGTGGAGGTTCCGGAGGCTTGCAGGGGGAGAAGATTCGCAGGCCGAGCAGGGAGAGCCTGGAAAAAGTCAGAGCAGGAGCACCTCCAGCTGTGCAGAGAACAACCCAGGGGCTGGTGCAGATAGTTTACGTTGTCCTCCTCGGGGGACAGGTAGTAGCCAAGCAACTGCTGTATTTCTTAGCTACCCTCCTTGGTCCCATTGGAAGGAGAGGCAAAACGTAGGGTTTGTGCTCCCCAGCACAGGGATGGAGCAGGCGCTGGCTGGCAGGTGAAGATCGCTTGAAGGAGGGAAGGTGACAGTAGGCAGTGGGTCCAGTTACTACAGTGGTCATGCAGATGAAAGCAAAGCACGGTGCCTCTCAGTCCTGACCTGCAAGGCTCCCTCTGGTCGTCTTGCACTTCTCGCTGCCCAGTCTCCTGACACTGGGCTCCCCATACTCTGTTACTCACTCCTCCCTGCAGTGTCTGCTTTTCTTCTAGCCCCAGGTCCTCCTCCCCTACCTTGCCTGCAACACCTTCTGCTTAGAGCCCCGCAGCTCCGGACGTGCCCCTTTGTTTTTCACAAATAGCAACCACACTCCAGTTAGAGCAGAGTAAATAGAGTTATTCTGTCAATAAATGGGTGGAGGGGATGGGGACATGGACAACTCTTGACCTGGGACTGAGCTCCAGCCAGTGGCATTGACATGGGGCTGAGCTCATTTGGGCTGAGGCTCATTTAGGCTCATTTTGGCAGCTGGGCAGGGATGGCTGTTTTCAGCTCTGTCACCAGTTTGGGATTAGTCTGGAACTGCATGAAGACCAAAAGCCATTGTTGTAGTTTCCTCATGGTGGATTCTAGCAGATAAACATTAAACGTGGATGAAAAACTATAGTGTTTTTCTGGGAATGTGTCAGTGTGGTTATCCCAGCTAACTCATTGCTGTACCTATGGGAAACTGAGGCATCCAGTGACAATAAGAAATGCTTTCAGAACTGCTCGAGAGATTTAAGAGATCAGATTTTACTTTTAAAAATTACTTTGAGCCAAAATTTCCCCAGATAACTGGAGACTAGCTGTATCTTTAGGCATATATGTATTCATATATGGCTTTCCCTAGCTTACACTATAAGGGCTTGCCACAGTGGGTCAGAACCCAGCTAAGGGTATTTCTCAGTGCCAGAGACCATACGTTTTTGTATTCAACTTTCCTGGAAAGAAGTATCCTCCTTCTCTGGTGTTTTCAGCAGCACAAAAAATACAGAATCTTGATCTGATCTATCTAAACAAACATACCACATCTATCACCACAGGTTTTTGAATAAACCAAGGACCCAAAATCTTGATCAGATCTACTTCAGAGGAATTCCTTTACTGCAAGTACCCTTTACTTTCTGCTTCTTCACAGTAAAAAGAAGGAAGGGATGTGGGAGGGGCTGAGAGTGATGTTGCCTACTTACGAACAAAGTATATTGGAAAGAGGGAGATGAGAGATGTGATAGCTATCTTTGCTGTCTCTGGGCTTAAGATAAAGAGAGGACTCATGTCTGTGGCTGTTAGCTCAATATTTTCCACACAGTGCTGGCGTTCAGCTTTGGTTTGCCGTTGGTACTGATGGGCACTATTGTAGCACCTTTCTGTGGTTTTGTGAACCACGCACTCTGCGTTCACATTGGCTTGCGAGGGGGCTGCTCCCCATACGACATTTCCAAAGAGCTCCTGGTGACCCTGCAGAGAAAGGGCACCGTATCACTGAGAGTGTTATGCCTTTGGTATTCACAACCTGGGTTACTCACATAGGAGGCCACATGATCGTGTCTTCCTGGAAGAAAGGTCCAGTTATCGCCAGATCTGATGTTGAGCACTTCCTGCCGCAGTGTGTCACACATTCACACCCAGTGTGGCTGCGAATGAAGTGCTAACAGCTTGCCAGCTCGGAAAGCCGTCAGCATTTTCACAAGTAGGGGGGAAAAATACTGAGCACACCAGGATGGTCCTCAGGGGCTTGCAGCAGGATCACCTCCAACTCCATTTTCTGGGCCGAGTCCCTTGGGAAAGGGTGTAGGAAGGAGGGCTAAAGGTATATTGGTCCAAGCATAGCTTTTCCTAGTGCCCTATCTAGAAAAGATCTTAATTAATCCATTCCCCTGCCCCAAAAGACAGAAAAACACTGTAAATTTTTTAATATTTGTTTTATTTACAAAGAAGCAAAGTTTTTCTTTTGTGCTTATCTTAGCAGCAAGAATAATTGAAAAGCTTATGAAGACCTACATTAGGAGAGGATAACCGTCAGTACAACTAGTATCCTCGGCCCATGTAAGACAGCAAATTGCCCATCAGGGTCGAGGGATTCAGTGTCTCTTTTTGAAGTCCACCTGAGAAAAATCTCAATGTACAGGAAACAGCCGGGCAAGCCTTGTGTTTCCTTATCTGGGAAGCTGTGGGGTGTTCTCCACCTGCTGTCTCCTGGAGACAATGGAACAGTCCACATCTTGGTGCAGGTGGTGAAGAAGCTAATGAGAGGAGAGGGATAGCTCCCCAAACCCTCCCAGCTGCAGACAGGCTCAGCTCCCTTGAGCAGCTCTTTTGAGGTGAAATCCAATCCAGTGGGTGACCCCATAGTTGGGAATCATAACAACATTCCGGCTGCATAATGCAAAGTTGGGTAACAGTGTGGGACCAGAACAAAGAGGAAGCTCAACGGTTGTACAAACAGAGGTAGGGAAGAATTAGTTTTGGGTGGTGCTCACAGGTGTGACAGAAGTATCAACAAGATCAATATCCTTGATTTTTTTTTGATATAACAATTCTTAGAAGAAAGATCTTTAGCACAGGGCTTGTATTTTCCCACAGCTGCATAGTCCAGAAATACAGCAAGAAAGCAGACAGACAGTAGAGATGTTGAATGCAGGGATGGATGTAGCCAGAATAGCTTGTCTTCCCTTGCCACTTTTCTTCTGTGTGTTGCGTTTTCTCAACCCAGATCAGCAAATACAGAAGAAAAAGGGGGGGAAAAAAAAAAAAAAAAGTAGTCTTTGCTATCCCCATTCTCTGTAAGTGGAATGAGGTTTTCTTTTCAGCAAATGTGCTGATTCGTGGGTTAGTTTTCTGGGCTCATTCACCACATCTTTGCTGCTACTTAGGCAATGGTTTCTCTTGAGCAATGGAAGGAATGGGCAGCACCGTTGCGATGTTTTCCACTAATACAGGATGTGGAATGAGCTATTCTGCAATCAGCTTATCGTAGTCAAATAACAGTATTTTGACAGCAGGGCAGAGAGGTTTTCGATTTCATGAAAAATATTGCAGCAAGAATGGGAAATTATGTGCATTCTTTTTACTACCATCATCAGACCTGGGGGAGAGAAGGGGGGGGGGGGAGGGGATTTCCCCAGTATTTTTAATTCAATAATGGGGATTTCTTTTTACACTGCACTGCTTAGACAGCTGACACAGTTGTGGCTGTGAGATGACCTTAGAAACTCAAGTCTAAAGCTGGACCAAACAGCTCAGAAAGTAATTTCTGATTAAAACATGAAGTGGGGACATCACAGAAAAAATGACACCCTTGGTCAGTCAGGAGGAGATGTCTTCATCCATTTCATCACTGGCCCCAGCACTGACCAGCAGTGCTACTGTCCCTTGTACAAAATCTCATAACCATCTCTTCAGAAATATCTCCCTCCCATTTGAGGTTTTTAGGCTGGGATGAGGCAAATGGACCACGTGCCTGGTCAGCCTCAAAGCTGAGTGCTACTTTACACCAAGATGGAGAGCATGGAAGTGTTGTCACAGTCTCCTGCTGGGAGCTAGGAAGGAAAAAACAAGCTGATGAGGTTTGGAATGGCACTTGAGCAGTGTGGAAAGGGATTTCTATGCCATTGGATGCAGTAATAGCACAGAAACAAGTTCAGGCTGAAGGTTAGTCCTTGTTGGCCCGTACACCTAAGAATCAGGCAACTACATCTCCATTAGCCGTGTAGCCACTGAACAGCTTTAATGTGCCTTTAGCATTCTCCATATGTTGTTTTACTGCTCACTAGCCCAGTTCTCCATACAAAAAGTCCTCTCATTTCCAGTGGTTTGTTTCACTAACGCTTTACCTTGCAAACTAGTGCTACCTATGTAGACATCCATGAATTTATACCAGGTTTTGTAGCCCTCTAGAGTAACTGTTCTCCAGCCTCATTAAAAAACAATCCCAATGGGTTTGATTCTGAAGTTACATTCATGTCCCGAACAGAAAAATTAGCCTTCCCAGCAGAAAAGGCCTTCCACACCTGTGGGTTTCCTCCAGGCAGATCCTAAACAGAGCGATGGTTGTACTGACTTTGGAGGTCCCTCAGAGAAAGGTAGGCACCAGTGTTTGGGACCTGGCTGGAGAAGGCTGTTCTGTATGGACCCTCATCTTGGCTTTGCCTTAGAGGTGGAGGCTGAGAGAAAGAAGAGATAGCATGTGCTGCTGGTGTACAGGGGTCAGTTGGAGGGCCTGAATTCCCACTCCCCTCCATTACACTGACAGTATCGCTATCATGCAGGTCCAGTGGGTCAGGAGAGTCAGTGTCCAGCTGGCACAGAGCCTCAGCAGGTTGTAAAGCTGCTTTATCCGTCACCTTCTCATCTTGTTTTACAACTGTTTCAGGTGTTGGCGAGGTGCCTTCACTGGACTGGAAATCCCCAGAAATAGCCATGGCCTGCTGGGCTTTACCTTCTGTCTCTTCCACAAACGAACTGTTTTGGAAGCCCCGGGTCACCTTGATGCAGTGAAGGAAGTTGTGGGACAACATGGGCATCTCCTCTCCCAATGGGCAGAGGCCTGGGGAGGGCAGAGCATGATAAGACTCCCCATCCTCACTACCACTGCCCTCCTGGGTGAAAGGCTCGTAGGTGAAGTAGACCTGACAGGGCTCAATCTCAAAGGAGTTGGAAAGGTGGAAGAAGAAGTAGCCTTGGTTGGTGAAGCAGCTAGATACAGAGTGCCCACTGGTTTCTAAGGGAGGATCAGGAGTCAGGGTTCCCTTGGAAAGTAGAAACTGGGATTCTTGGTCGTTCTTCTGCATCACCTCGAGCATGGAGATCTCTGGGGTTGTGCTGTTCACACAACAGGAAGATGTGGAGAATGGGGAGGAGAGCCATTTCTGATGGAGAAGAAACACAGGAGAAAAATTGTTATGCCAAAGTATAACACTCAGTAAGGAAGCAAAAGTTTATTCTCCTGAGTGACACAGCAATCAAGTGACCTTTTCTCTGTCCAAGCAAGAGTTGCCAGAGTTGGTGGGGAGAGAAATTCATATTCATGATGTCTTATCTGCAGGATTTTCAGAGACAGTTTATCTTTCTGTCACTTTGAAATCAAGAGCAGATCTTGTGATTTGAGATTTCTGGAGGGGGGGAATGGAAGATAGAAGATTAAAGTGAAAGGAAGAAAAAAAATTACAAGGCCATGAAATGAAGTGAAGGTGGAAACATGAAAGGTAGTACTGAGTTGCAGAACAAGTTTCTGATACATCTACATGGCCCTATGAAGATTTCTTGTCTAAGGTGCTCTTCCAGGTCCTTTGTGCCTAGATTTCCACACCCACCACGAGTGACATCCTGCAGTGCATGATTATCTTTAGAAATAAACTGGGTTTTATAACATCCAACTTCATTGTCTTTATGGCCAGAAAACCCAATTTTTCTAGTTCTTTCTGCACTGAGAAAGTGTCTTCAGTGCCTGCTGCACACTCTTGTCCCCCTGCTCTGCACTCTTACCCTGTAGTTTAAGCTTTCTAAGACGTTTTGCACTTAGGCTTTTCCAAAGCTTTGCTGTCCTCTGGATCTTCTGCAGTTTGTTTCCATCTGCCTTAAAGTGAGATGCCCCTTGGGATCACCTCCCACGTCTTGCATCTGACACTCCCTTTAATACTGCACAGAATGGTAATTGTCTCCTTGCAGCTGCCTGTACTCATGGGGAAATTAGGGGAAGGGACAAAGTGGGAGTGGAGAAAGAAGGAAAGAGACAACAAGAATGCAGAAAAGAGCTAAGTGCCATCCAGCGTGATGGGAATTCACATTAGGAGCAGAGGAAAGGCTCACAGCCAAGAGGAGAGGATCGCAGCAGGAAATCTGGGGAAGAGCTGGGCAGACTAGGGCAGGCAGGGAGGGACCAAAGTGGGGTGGAAGGGGATCTGAGAGGCCAAGCACCCTTCCACAGGTCTCTTGTTTTCTCTCAGGCTCCCCGTTAGGGAAGCAGGATGCTGAGGTTTGCATGATTTGCCGTTTCTTGGTTCTGTAATTAGAGATGCCTCATCTGAGTGTCAGGTTTTAGAAAGTCAGAAAATAAAACTTGAGCTGAGAATCCAGCAGTTAGTGATACAGGCATATGTGTCATGTGTGCACATGTAGGTCTGACAACCGGCTGTCTGTCCTGGGCATGTGCAGCTGGACCCTCCTTTCCCTCATTCCTCCCTCATAACCACACGGCTCCATCCCCCGTCCCATACCTGAATGTCACCTCCATGAACCGAAACGAGTGGGGGAAAGAACTTCTCGGGGTCTGGGATGTGAATCTTCAGGATCTTCTTAAACCTTGAGAAAAGAAAACGAGAAGGAGGAATGAAGCAGGGCCTGATCCTGAGCAATCTGGCACTGTGGTGGGGGTAGGAGAGCGCATCGAAGATCATGGGTGTTTCCCCGGTGTGGGAAAGAGGTAAAATAAGAACAAGCCTGAGGGCTCTCCTTGCTCTTGTGTGGCCTGAAACACAGTAGCTGAGGGTTGAGTGGTGTAGAGATGAGGCAGTTAAACCTGACACTGGAAAGTACACTGCCTTCAGCCTTTTGCTGAGGGAAGCACAACCAATGGTTCACTGGTTTCTTCCCTGACTTAGCTGGTCACCTTAACCTCTCCACCTGCACCCTTAAGCCCCTGTCCTGATGACAAGCTGGGCAGGTCTCCCTTGTTTTCAAACTCCATCTGCTGTGAGCTGCCCCCTTGTTGCTTTGCTGCCACCTCAGTGACTCAGAGGTCCATGTGGCCTGAGTGGGACCGTCACTGGCAAAGCTGTGCCACAACTCTCTGCTCTGTTGGCAGGATGCTGCATTATATAGCCAGGACACACTGGCCATGCAGGCCATCTGAGTACACCTTGCATCAGTCCAGAGGCCTCTATTTTACTGGAACCAGTGTGTTGCCAACCTGAGGCAGCATGCAATGATCTAATCTACACCTCCATCCCTCAGAGAAGCTGGTTGATCCTGTCAGCTCTTTGCTGAAGCTTTGCTGTGGGATGCTCTGAGGAAAGATGCTTCTGACCTCTGAAGACAATCAGTATACCCTCTGAAGCATCAGAATTTGCTAGTTCTTGCATATAAACTACCTTACATCACTGCAGATGCTATTTTTATTCAAGCATGTCTAATCCTTCCTTGGATCTTACCTCAGCATTTTCCTCCATCCAATTCCCCCAGGTTAATTGTGCTCTGTGGAGAAAGGAGGCCATTTTATGTCTCTCTGTGCCATATAGCTAGCACTTCCTCACCTTTGTGTTATGACTCAAGGTAAAACACAGTGACCAGTGACTTTCTCAGTACCCATCTTCCTTCAACACACTTCTCCTTCTTTCCTTACAGAGAAGCCATTCAGCCTCCTCTGCCTCATCCCCAAGAATGTTTCTCCCTCCTCCCTGACATGAACATCAGCACCCCGCTTCTTTGCCCCTGTACTCAGATGAGAAAACCTGTGGCCATTTTTAACCTCGCCATGCTGACAGGTCACTCTCCATATTATTTGCATGGGGTGACCTTGTGAGACACTTTCCATCCTGAATAAAAGCAGTATCTAAGTAGAAACACTGTCAAAGAGATATTTAAAGCATCATGTAGAGGTTTACCAGCACATGATGAGACACTTCAGGACTGCACAGACCAGGGAAAGGAAGAATTATACTCCTCACTCAGGAGTTTTGTCTGTAGCTCAAATGTCACCACGTCCTGCCTGAGCTCTTACTGGAGGGTTTAAATGAGAAGGTAACAGTACCTAGGTTTGCTTGGTCCTCTCTACTGAGGGAGTGCTTGACCCGGTGGCCTGTTTTTTAAGAGGTAAATTTGGCGCATCCCTGCCAGGGAACACTAACCCCTGGGCAACAGAAGTGCTGAGGTGGCTGTTGTTAATTCAACTAGGGCACGGCACCAGGTCACAACACCAGGTCACAGGAGCATGGCATGATACAATGATGGTGGTGAAACCACATCATCTTGGGTGGTGATATATCTTCCTAGACAAATGTCAGCCTGAAAAGGTTGGGCTATTACCCATATTTTTAAGTTACTCTCTATCCTGAGTAACGCCAAGTGAAAAATAACCCAGGTTTTGAGAAGACACACAAGATACAGGAGAGGAACAGAGAGGAAAACTTGATTCTCATTTACCATTTCAGGGTCCGTAAGTTAACAAGGAAGGCAGTCCCAATGATCACAAAGATGCAACTGCTTACTATAAGAGCTGGCATGACCGGCCGGGATGTTTCTGCACAATGAGAGAGAATGAGAGTTGCTGTGAAAATTTAGCCAGGATTGTGGATGTAGGAGCTGCAGCCTTTCCATGGCTGTTAAAGGAGAAAAAAGTGGGCTTTTATTATAATTTTGCATAATATTATATAATTATAAAAAATTATAACACTCAGGGCCTTTACTGTAATTTTATATAATAATATTATACATTATATAAAATTATAACATATAGGTCAGATAAATGAGTTCTGTTGTGTTATGTAGGGTGTTTTTGAGATTATATGGGTTTCAGAGTCCACTTGACATTGCTTAATAGATAATTTGTGCTGAACAGCTTGAACTCCCTGTTCATAACAGCACCACAGATGGGGGTTGCCACAGATGAGTTGCCACAGTCTACTGGCTGAAGTGTCCATCAACCTGTCTGTCTCATTTCAAAGGAAAGCAGGGAGTCCTAAAATCATCTTAAATGGGATTGGAGACTTGAAACAGCTTTATGAGCCAGTGGGGGAGGCAGAGTCATGGGGTTCATGGGTGTCTGAGAGGGCAGGAGGATCAAGGATGGAGACAGTTAGGGGTCAAGAGGCTGACTTCTTTCTTTGGAGAAGTGTAGGAAAGCTTTAGGAAGCTAGGGAGGTTACAGCTTTCCACTATATTTTAGTACTTGGATTGTAGGATTAGGAGAAAGAGACAGGATTAGGAGAAGAGTTCCCACAGTGCCAGCATTGCCAACACTCCTCAGGGTTATCTGGCATCATCTCAAACTACTCTTAATCTGTCTCTTTCACACACATCTTCTCAGGGCACCTTTGCTTGGTCTTGCTATTCTGGTGACTGTCTCCCCTGCCTGTCCCCTCATCTTTCTGCTTGTGTCCCTTGGTCTGAGCCTGCAGAGCATCTCTGGAGAAATTGTGAGGTAGCAGAGAAAAATAAAAGGAGGAGGAGGCATTTTTAGGACATTCTTTCTGTGCCTGTCCTTGAGATGCTACTCAGATCACTTTGTCTCCTCTGCCTCTGGTACCCTGGTTATCTTTGGGTCTTGGTTGCTATGACAACTGGTTGCGGCTCTATCCTATTCATTGACATCACACACTGTCAAAATTTGATCGCCACAGCAACACAGTGCCCTTTCTAAACATAGCTCCTCTGTTTATACCAGCACCAGGCACAACGGGGAGGGGCTGAGCAGGGTTAGAGAGGGGGCGACATGCAAAGAAATAACCTCTATCTGCTTATTTTTCGGAAAAGAAATGACGAAGACCACAGACAGTGACTCACCGAAGAGACTTGCTCAGGGCCTTACTGCTCTGGGAAAGCAGCCCCTGATTTACACCCTGTGAATTTTTCCTGGCTTCTGAAAGTCAGAGGGGCTATGTTGGAGTCAGGGGGGGTCTTTGCCCTTAAGCCCTGTTGACCCAGCCTGACCTAACAGATCAGAAGGGACAGATTGTTTCCAACCTTTCTATTATTCTTTGATTAACACAATCCTCCCTATCCATCTTCCTCCAGCTTCTCAGCCTGCTTTGGCCCTCCTACATTGTTTTCCCTGAGTCCCTGTTTCCCCCTTCAAGTCAGACTGCCTGACTCAGATCCTTACGGTCAGCATGTGTCCTCCACAGTATTGTCTCGCTCCAGTCGCTCCATACACCTTTGTAGGTACTTGAGGCACTTGGTCTTGCACGGACAGCTGCCTCATATTTCAGGTTAGGTGAGAGGCTCTCAAACACCCACCACATCTGGTCCTGATTAATGGTGAAGTTCTTAGCGTCCTGGGAATAGGGCAAAATTAGAGGATCATCAACACCTTGGCTCACAGCTTCACGTGCCCATCTCCTATAAGGCCCTCAGAGAGGACCTGTCTCAGATCCCTACACCTCATGCACTGCTTGTTCACCCTGGAGGAAAATTCTTTGCTTTGCTTTTTTGATCCCTTTCAGCTGTGTCCTGAAGCTGTCTGGATTTCTTTGTGACAGCACTGTGTAAAATAGGATTCCCGTCTGCCTCCATGTCATCACCAAACACTGGCAACCGGTGCCAAAGACAAAAGGAAAGGGTGTTATCTGTTCTCCAGCTTCACCAAAACTGGTTTCATCCTGAAAGGAGGTCCAGGAGCAAGTCCTGGGTGATGTAAAGAAGACCAGGATTCATATGGTGACAGATTCCAGTACCTATCTCTCTACTCACCTTCCAGGACTGACTTGTGGTTCGGTACCGCACTTCGTATTCCCGCTCCCCATCCAAATAGTGAGAGGAAATATTCAGGCTCCATGTTAAGTTGTAGGTGTTTTCAGTTTTGCTATACAGCCGAAGATTTCCTGGAGGCCTCAGCTTTACTGGAAAGAGAGGAGGAGCAGGGCACTGTCTGTCCATAACAGGACTCTACCGCAAAACCCCACTGCAGCAGGTTTGGTGTCTTGGCTGTGCTCACAAACTCCGGCCAGCCACAGACACGTGAGACCACTAGTGAGTTCCCCCTCTCTCCTCCTCCTTCTTCCCCACTGTCATTGACAGTAAAAGGCCTGTTGTCTCTGGGCTACGTTAAAGGCAGCTCCTCCTGTGAGCCGGTGAGAGTGGCCCCCGCAGCCAGTGCAATCAATGCCCCCACATGGCCACGCATCCTATCTTGTAGGGTGACCCACAAGGCAATTGAATGGGCAGGAATGGAGCATGGCTGGGGAGACAGCTGCTTCCCAGCTGCTTTTTCAGAGATCTACAACCACAGGGGACAGAGTTACATAGTCTGGGCTGATCCTTCCCAATCCCTGACTCCAGCCATGCCTTCTTATGTCTTACCTTGCAACAGCTCTATTGGATGTCTCCTTGAGCCAGGTAAACTCACACATCCAGCAAAGAAATTACCCAAGCAGATGTTTTTCTGCTGGATTAGTGAGTTGAATCCTTTCAGCAAAGACTGATGCATCCCAAGGCTGGCTTAAAGGAGGGTGGAAGAACATATCTAGTAGGAGGGGCAGGGGAAGAGCAGCAAGAATTTCCCTCCATGCAACATGCATTTTTCAGGAGGTCAGCTGAGCTGTCATTGCCTGTTTGAAGCCAGAATTCCTACTGTGAAGCACTCTCATTTAAGCGTCCCAGATACAGGACAGGACAAGAAGTGGCTGGCGTGATGCTGCGTGTTAGAGGTGCAAGTGGCAGGAGTCAACGTGGTTCATCTGTGCTAGTTGTATCAGGGGACAAGGAAAAGACACGAGTCTAAAATCAGCTATCGGTGTTGCGAAGGGGTGAGTGGGGAAGAGAAATTAGCCATCATTTTGTGAGGAAGCTTCAGGGACTGCAAGACAGATGAGTACTCACTATTTGCAAGTGGACTGAAATCTTCTATTCGCACAGGTATAGACCTGTTGTCTCCAATCTGGCAATGGACAGACATGGTAAGACGGTCTGCAACGGTGAAGCATTGAGTCTGCAAGGAAAAACTTACCATTAGTGATACTGAAGCCTCATCAATAAGCATTCATATTTCTAAGCATTGCCTACGTATAAGAGGTTTAGGAATACCTGACAAAAAATATGGGTGATATTTGCGGCTGAAAGGCATAAGTCCCAGTGGTGAGTGAGGAACCAAAGATTTATACTTCATGTGGCTGGACTTTTTTGTTCTTTGGCAAGAAGGGCACAAAATATTGTGATACGCTAGTTTGCTAGGATTGCTGTATGTGTTAAGCAGGAAAAACATTACTTTATTGAGAAAAATTATTTTTACTAAAGCATTTTGTTTTCATTGGTAGGATTGAGGTGACATTATTATTAAATATTACTCTTGAAATGCAATAACACTAAAGATCCACATACATCATGCAGTATTAAATAAGCATTAGGGAAATTAGTGTGATTAGAAATAAAAGATTTTGGAGCTGTTTACTAGCCCTTCAATTTGTCTTTGCACATGATGTGCAAATGTAAGAAAGCTTGTCTGTTGTTAGGACTGGTTTTGGCTTTATCAATAAGGGTAATTAGCTCATATTTGGGTGTGGTTTTTTTCTGAAAACATGAGGACTACAGTAACTCTGGATATGACTGAAGGAAGTCTTTTTTTTTTAAAAAAGACTGATTTAAATAAAGAATAATAGCTAGAGGATTTGCACCACCATTAGTTCCAGTGATGTGTTGCTGTTGCATCTTTCATTTGACACATCTAACCAGACTTCACAGCACTTAATGATCTGGAAAATGGTACTGACCTCATCAAAGAAAATAAGGTCAAGAGGTGACCTCAGAACTGGTGATGATGTCCATCCCTCCTAAGAGGAAGGGATTAGGGCCAAACCCAGGTAATTGAGACATGGGACACTGCATGTGATCTCTCTGTCCTGCACCTCTTCTACATGCGTCAGGACAGCATGGCCCAGCTCACAATGAAGCCAATCCCTCCTGCAGGGGAACCCACAGGGGCGATGCATATCAACAGCACACAACATCGAGCCCAAATCCAGAACTGTAGTCAGGGATTAGAATTGGGCTTCTTCTTCTGGGTGTCACACTGTTTATACGCCCCAAATCCACATACAAATCCTTTCTACCCTGTCATTAGCCAGGATATCCCAAATTAATTACTCACATTACTGTTTTTGCTGAAGGTCTTGATGCATCTCCTCAGTCCTGTCATATGTTCTGCCTTGGGTAATTCACAGTGCTCCTTGAATTTTTCAGGTAAAGGAAATAACCTGTGTTTTAAACAGAACTCCAGTGAGCTGGGGAGGCTGTTTTGTGTTTAGTCAAACTTTACGTAACACTAAAAACCATTCAAAACATTTTGCATCCTACCATATTTGCTCAGCAGGTTACAACGCGGATGTAATCCCGCTTTCTCTCCCTGCTGCATTCAGACAAATTTTATGTGCTGGCACATGGAAAGTCAATGCATCCCAGTTACTTCAAGCCAAAGATAACAGCAGGTGTCCAGTTTCCAAGTCTCCACAAAATTCTCTTGCTACTTTCTCTGCTTCCTGTTGACATCAGAGGGCATGCAGAGCCCAAACACCCCTGCTGCCCACAACCGCGCCAGCGTGGCCCTGGCAGACAGGTGCCTGTTTCAGCCCCTCCGGGGTTAACAGGTCTCCTTCGAGCCCCCAACAGTCCGTAGGATCTCAGGTATCGAGTGACATGTATCTTCTGAACCAGGTCACATCCCAGTCAGCCAGGACCATACGTCGCACTTGGCAGCGCTACGACATGACCTCGCTTCTGCTCTGACAGGAGTGGCTGAAGAGCCTAAGCTGGGCATAGGGTGGGGTGACAGGGTGGGAGAATATCCGTGGGGTTGCAGCTGAGAGGGTAGACTGAGCTGCCTGCTCCAGCTGTAAGGTCAGATCACACCTGGGACTTGCTGATGGTGGGGAGAGGTGGTGGCCTAGAGCCCTGGTCAACCAATGGCGCAGTACCAAATCCAACCCAAATTCCAGCCCTGGTATCTGTGATTCACACCCATGGAGCAGCATAAATGTTTTGGCTTTCTAGGTGTAGGCACCAGGTCCCACAATGTATTTACCCATCTCACCCTGTTGGAGGTGTCTCTATGACAGTCACGATCAACCCACCCACTGCTGGAATCACACTGAGCCTCTCCTTATGCCAGGCACCCAGGGAAGCACTGGGTAGGCTGGTAAGTCTCTTGGCTGGAGATGTCATACTTGGAGACCACAGAGACTCAGCCAGCCCCCAATGTGGTACTGGCCACACACCCACCCCTCTGATGGGAAACGTGTGAGAGAGGGAAACATCATGAATTAAGAGAGATGAAAAGGCCAGTGGCGGTAAGGGGAACAATATTTTCCTCCATTTATTGTTACTCAGGGTGCAACATCCCAGCTCATCCTGGCAATGGGCAAATGGCCTCTGCATAACTTTAATTCCACCTTCCTCTGCCCCCATCTCTATACATCCTCCTTTTCTGCTGAAAGTGTCTTTGACTCCAGAAGGTGGCTACCAAGGAAGAGGGATGTTTTGGAAAACGAAGCACAGACAGAGCTATGGCTGCAGATGGGCTGTGCTAGACAGTTTGGGACCACCAGATGACAAACACTGAGCAGTGCCCAACATCTCAGCGCACATGGGGTTAGAGACAGAGTTCAAAACAAAGCCCCTCAGCTCTATGACTCCACTACAGCTGGCTTGGGGAAGGGGAGCCTACATTTTTGTTAAGTGGTAAACTTTCCAGGATATTTTTCATTCAAAGCATTTGCTTTCCGCAGCCTCTCCAGTCACCCACCTGTCACAAAAAGCTAACTTTGATAAAATCTCCAGGTGGCACGGTGCTTCAAGCAGGTCCCTGTCTGGGTTCCAGTCACAGAAGAGAGCCGCCCGTGAGTCATACCAACAAGTTAGGCTGGAGGCGCCTGCCAGCAGAGAAGATATGGACAACAACGTGGCTGAATTAGCCATGATGTTTGTCATTAACCATCACCCCAGACAGTTCTGCCCCATCCCAAACCACAGACTGACTCCTCTGCTGGATAACTGTCTCCAAGTAGGATAGGTAGAGCCACTCACTTTTCTATGTCCTTGGAGGTTGATGTACTCATAAGAGACCTGTAACTATTGCAACCTCCTCTGGCTGTATGTTACAACACAAACATTACACAGCAACACACTGTAGTACACACACTCCACCGGCTGTCCTCCCTCCCAGCTCCCCCAGCTGGCATAGGTAAAGGGAATCTCTTCTTACCTTGTGCCGAGTCTGATGCCCACAAGAGAGGCATGAGGCTGAACAGGCAGAGGTGACACAGAAACAGCAAAGAGGGCTTCATCTGTACTGGTGACACACTGAAAGAGAGAAGACGCCCCCCCAACATAGCTTAGCAATGCAAATTAGGAAGATGTCATCTCACAGGAGGCATCCACTGTCCTAGGGCAGGGCTCAAAGCCAGCACCAATCTTCCAGGCTCAGAAACTCACACCCCTTCCACTCTGGGGTCTGTGCTTTTCCCTCAGCACCTCATTGTTTTCCTGCCTCGGGTGCTTTGCTCAGCACTGAAACCGTTCACAGTGCAGCACAAATAGGATGTTTGCAGGAGTAATGCCTTCTGGAAATGTGTGTGTGAGTGCACAGCAGTCCGCATGTGTTGTTTCAGGCTGCTTGCTGACTCAGGTAGAGAGTGCTGCCTTGGTTGCGCACGGGTTGTGCTTTGTAGAGTTTCTTTTTTTGGTAAGCCGTAGGGCTGAAATAACTAGGTGCTTGCTGAGTAAGAGGGGTCTGCGGCTGCAACTGGCAGAAGTTAGTTGCAGAGCTCATGGTTTAGGAGTTAGATTTTGAATGGTTTGTTTGGGATAGGGGGGGAAATCAGGGAGAGGAAGGAGTTTACCAGGTTCTGGAAAGTCAAGGCTCCATATCACAAAATATTACACAGTCATGAACAAACCATGCGCCATCCTCGCTAAGTAGACCCTGCACTACCTTGGAAGGAGATGTGATTTTAGGTGTAGCAGACGATTTGGACTTTGTAATTAGAAACTCTGCAGCACCCCTTATCCACCCATGGCACCCGGGGAGACTCCTTGTCTTACAAAGCCCGTACAAGCGATGCTCCATACTAGACAGACTGGGCTTACAGACTTCTCATCCAAGCCTCCTCCTCTCCCCATCCACCTGGACACTTGTACCTTGAGGTCTGCCTCTGCCCACAGGAGAAAGGACCACCCTCACCTCTCAGCAAGCCTGGAGCCCAGGCAGAGCTGTGCAAAACAAGACAGAGTCCTGCTGGACTCTGCTGGGACTGCCAGGGGAGCGAGAAGAGAAAGTTTAAAAAAGGCTGTCATGAAGCATAATATCAATTCCCGTTGTGATAAAAGATTAGGTTCAGATGAAGAAAAACATGACGACAATGCATTAACAGACAAAGGGAAGAGAAAGAGAGAGAAAGAAAGCAGGCGGTGTGGTTGTGAGATGTGGGGTATGATTTGAGAGGATTGTGGAGAGACAGAGAGATAAATACATGCTCAGCCCTCCCCAACAGTGAGATTCAGTTTGTCAGAGTGAAACTCCTTCCAAGACGCTTTTCAGATCAGCCACCCCCATTTTGGAGAGAGCTGGCATCGCCCCCTTTACCTTCCAGCTCCAGGCACTGAGTGGTCCAGGCGAAGGGAGTCCCCCGGGGACTAAGTCGTGGGGCTGGATGGAAGCAGGTGCCGGACGTCAAACAGTAAGGGGAACGGGGAGGGAGGAGAGGGAGGTTGATGGGGGTGGATATAGTAGCTCAGTGCATGTCCAGGTGTCAGCCAGCACTGCTGGCATGAGAGGAGAGGTGCCTCCAGCCTGGCAGTTCTGCTGCGGAGCTGTTCCTCCAGTACGTGCGCGGTCTCTCTCTGCCGTCTCCCTCTCACCTTTGCACAGGAAGCTGCCGCTTGCTTGCCTTGTCAGACTGAGACGAGGCCCCGAAGTATCGAAAAGGCTAGTGAGGCCGAGAATAAAAAGCCCCAAACCACGTCCTACTTCCTGCTGATAAAGCAATAGGTGCAGAAACAAGGGTGGAGGGATCAGGTGTTAGCTTGCAGTGCTCAGATATACTGGGACCAGTTTGTAACTATTGCTGGGAAGTAAAAGAGAGAGAGAGAAGGATCTGTACTCTTGGGACACTGGCAAGCACCCATAGCTTTCTCTTTCAGACACCCAAACGTATCATTCATATTCCTCTTGGGGCTTGCACATGTGCACAGGTCACTGCAACTGGGGGTAGGAGTCAATCTGCAGCAGAAATACCATGGACTACTTTGTGAAAAATAACTTGAGTCGTTGACCTAAGCAACACCAGAATGAAACCAGCCTCCACATCAGTGCCCCAGTTTCAGAGGATCCATCCTGGGTCAGAGCAGGAGTGGAACGAGGGCAGGGCTGAGTGTGAGCAAGCTTGAGGCACAACCCTCACACTTGCAGATGGTGTGACACCACAGGAACACCCACCCTATGGCCTCCCTACCCGGCTGAGCACCTCACTTGCTCCACAGACAGATGAATCACCCACTCCAACCTGAGCCTTGTAGCTAGTCCAGGCAGGCAAGACTGCCCCGCAGTATCTGCAGTGACTGGTGTGGCTTGTCCATTCAACAGGCCAGACAGGGATGCAAACAACATGCCCACCTTCTTCCAAAGCTTCATGTACCCTCACCTTTGCAGACAGATAACCCCTCACAGCCCCTGCAGGGCACGTTTAGTTTTAGAAGATCCTTTCGCCACAGGGAGACATCTTCCCCAGCACACTTTGCCTTCATATCCCAAGCCAAGACAGATGCACGAATGCAAATCCACCGATTGATGGTTGCCTGGTTCACAGATAGGCACGTGCATGCATACGTGTCCCCCCACACCTCTCTTTTTCCATACACAAATACAGTTCTCTGAAGTGCAGTACATCACGTTTCCTGTCTGGTCTGGACTGCACAAAGATGGCCACTGGTGTGGGGCCAGCTGATGAGAATATCCTTTTACACACACAGTGGTCACTACTCTCTGTGCTCCTTACCTTTTTCTCCTAGAGCAGCTCAAGGCCCAAGCTCAGGTCTGGCAAGCAGGTTTTGTTGAGCAAAAGTTGCCAGAGGCTAATATCAAGTCTCCAGGCAGTTCCTTTTTGAGGACTATATAAACCTGAAGGATGGGGCCTCCTTTAACAGCAGAGGGATCTTGTTTCCAGGTAGCAGAAAGAGGGTGTGGGAGGAGAATGTGTTTTTAGTCACAGGCAGCCCAATCCGGAGGCTGGATCTCAGAAGATACTAGATCTCAAACAGAAATAGTTTTGGAGCAAAGCAGTGATTTGAAGGCATGGGCGGAGACATTCTGAAGGAGGTTGCAATAGTGGATCCTCAGGGCCATTTCTGGGAGAGCATTGCTGTTAATCCAGCCTCAGGCACTCATATTTAGCTAGTGGTCTGGAGTGCAGCACCTCTCTCCTCACCATGCATGACATGGACCAGGAGTCTGAGAGGTGCCATCTGGATGATCTTGCTAGTCATCCGAAGGCTCCTGTTACAGCCACCCTTTGTGAGGGCAACTGGGGAATCTGACCAGCCAGCCTCTGCTGAAGAGAGCATGGGCTGCGTGCTCTCCTGCTCTGGTAATCACTGACTGCAGTAATTGCACCTTGGTGGAGCTGTAATGGCACGTATCATCAGGGCACAGCCTGCCTTCCCCAGGAACTCTTAAAATTAATTAAGCTTACTCTGGTGCGGAAGTCCTCGGCTGAAGCAATGAAGTGCTCTCTGAGTAACTTCTTGGTATCACCAACTCTGCAGCTGCAATGGAGCATTCATGTTAACCACTGCTCTTCCCATTTGTTCTTCAGACTGAGAAATCTTCATCTTCCCTCAGACCAGAGATCACTTTGGGAAAGCAAGAGCACAAAGCACTCATTTCTTATTGTTCATCTTATTAAGGAAAAAAACTCCACTGATTCAGTATTTTTTTTCTTTTTTCCTTTTTTCCTTTTTTTTTTCCTTTTTTCCTTTTTTTCCTTTTTTCTTAAATGTGTAAGAATCAGATGAGGTTGTTTGTGAACTGTGGTACCTGAAGTGATGGAAGAGGAAAACTTAACATGTAGCTAGTCCCTAGAGAATGTGATCATCTGTTACAGTTGACAACAAGGATTTATTTGTTCATCCAATTCACTGGAGGCTTTTTTTTTTTTCTAGATCTGGGTATCTACAATAGATTGTCATGCAGATTTTTTTATATCTAGTAAGGACTGATGTCACATTGAAGACCTTCCCAATGAAGGTCCTAAGGGAGAGCCAGCTCTCTTCTATCCAGCTACTGACAGCAGTAAGTGATATACCTCTTTGTCAAGTGTGACTGGAATTGATTGACATTTCCAAAATTGTTAAGGGAGGGGGGAATCTTCTGACAGATCAGCTAACTGGCAACCAAACACCAATTCATGGAGCCACAGACTGCCTCAGCATGTTCAATTTCAATTGGAAACACAGTTTAAAATGTACTAAAGCAAAAACTGTGTGACATGAGTAAGAAAGGGTTTCCTACACAGGCATGATACCATGATTGTGTCCAGACCTGATCTAATACAGATAAATACACTTGCTGTTAGCAGTTTTCAGACTTGATTGTGCTACTGAGAATTTGGCTTTTTTTTCTCTCTTTTACGCCGACATTGTTAGGAATGGTGCCATTTGTAATGTGACGAGCCAAACAAAACCACATTGTCAGCGACACATGCGAGGTGTTCTTGTGATAACTTTCCTGTCCCCACAATGGTGACTGGGATGGGTGAACTCACTAGTCAGCATTGTTCGGTGTTAAAGCAGCAGGTAAAAGTGTGCTGTGGGACGTTTGGTTAAAGGCATTGTTTGGGGCAGATCAGTGTTTCAGGGGCAGTGTAAGTTTTAAAAATCCTCAAGTCTGGGGCAGGTGCTTATGCACAGGCTCGTCTTTTCCCCCTCGCTCTGCTTTCATTAGAGAGGAGCAGTGCTGCTGAAACTTCTTATTTTCAGTTGCATGTCTACTGAGAGTCTCCACAGAATGGCAGAGGTGAACAAGAGAACAGAGAGAGTGAAGCAGGGTGAAGCGCACAAGTATTGGGTGGCGTCTCAAATTATCTCACAATTGATCAATGCATTGGCTGTCATTAGGCAAGGCACATCCCTTCCCTTTGCTGGCTCTCCGCTGGGACTGGAGTCCCAGGCTAACTGGGATGCCTTGCCTCTGCTTTACAAACCACCCGGCTCACAAAGGGTGAGCTCAGTGTCCTAAGGACACCCACCTCGGTGTCCTGTCCCCACTGCTGTGGGGTGGAGCAGTGGGAAGG